GTGTGTTCAGTTAATCGAATTCGCTGACATTTTAAAAGCTATCAGCATAAAAAAATTCTTACTTTGGTTGAATTAAGGTGGGCAAAAATTTGCATTTAGCCCGGCATTGCCGAATGCCGACCTCGTTTTCGAGGACTGATTTTGCCACGTCTTGCTGACGTAATAAGTGATACCGACAGAGGAAAAAGGTCGCTTCGTGTGAGAAAATTCGCTAGTAGAAAACCGACTTTATTGCCTCTTTTATAGAACAGTATAATAAGCAACAACAACAACAACCACCAAACACCAAACAAATTTAATTACCTAATTATGATTTCAATAATATTATGTTTTTGGACTAGCTGCCAGAAGTGAAGATACTGTATTCGAAAAAATTTGCATTGCTGCATGTGGTTTCTTTGATGCATGCTATTCGTGATATTCGGTTTGAATTCAATTATTCAGGAGGTCAATTTTGGTTTTTTCAGTGGTTATCTTTAGCCAATCCAGTTTTGCCGACTGAGATAACAATTTGCTGATTAGCTGACGAGTGGGGGGGGGTGTTCCACCCCCCCTGTAGCGCCGCCCCTGATTTCAGTCTGCATGGCCATGGGCGTAGGGGGGCTCATATTCATATATTCATAAAGCAATCAATTTCAAAAGAAGTAATGATGCAGAACACGAATATATGAATATGAGCCCCCCCCCCAATATCAATCTTCCTACGCCCATGGCCATGCAGACTGGACTATCGAAATTTATTACGTATGCGAGCTGGCTACCCATAGCAAAAACTGATAAGTAGTTTACGTTTGGTATTGTATTCTATTCTATTCTACCTACTGGGGTTTCTTTCGCTTTAAGAGATTTCACTCCAGTTATAAAGTGAGGTCACCGGCGAAGGTAAAGTATTCCAATTTCCGAAAATCAATTCCGAAAGTAATTCAGGTGCAAAACGTTATATTAATGACTTGCAACCAATCTCCTCCTGGTACACACCAGACAATGTTCATCGATAAAATCACCAAATAGACATGGTATATCTACAGTATTATGTGACAAATATTCTTTTGTGCCATGCCACCTGACATGGCGGGTGATGTGCAAGTCAAGAATAGAGAACAGGGTACGAATTAAGGTGTCAAAACAGCTTCGCAAAAATTTTGGTAAATAAATACTGCCTAGCTATTTCAAAACCATCCTCAGAAATACCATATGAAAAACTAGTTACATATTATTCTGACATTGTAGAGTACAATGAAATTCCGAAATTCATTGTCTCGAACGAGTTCGAATCCCGCTTGAGACAACAAACTTTTCGTTGTACTCTGCAGTGTCTTGCTGTACTGGTGATTACTATATTCAGCTATCATATTAAAATGCAAGACAGGTCATTTTGTTAAAAATGTTAGTTATAAATTAAGCAACAAGCAATACTTAATTTGTGTGTTCACAAATAATTTTCAAAAATAATTACTAGTAACAAGGCCACCAATGTTCACAAAAAAACCCTGTTTAACCTTTATGTAAACGTTTCTCATATCTGCGTGTACCCAAGGAAGTCTAAGTAAAATCTAAACTGATTTAAATATTACTTACAATAGGAAACAATTGAATGAATAAGACCGAAAGGCCGAAATATATGTGTCGTGTTTTCATGTGAATTGTCAAAACATTCAGAAATGCGATTACATTCCTAGGCTACGCCCGTGCGCCAATTACTGGCATTTTGACAAACTGCAAACCATTTTACTTTTAGGCGTAAAGTAAACATCCGGTTTGTAGTATTTAGCCGCCCTTAATATTAACCGTGATTGATTACAGCATAAATTGGGATTGTATGACTGCAACCTGACTACAAAACAAAAATCAAAGCCTCGTCAAAACAATATAAACAGCAGACAAACAAACTGAAAGCAAAAACAGCGCGCTCGGCTCTCTCATATTCATGTTCGTTATGTTTATGCAATATATTTTCAAAATTTTCACTTCGCATTTTCCCGTCTGCCAAGCAATTTCGCTTCGCAAAAATGTACAGATGCTTCGCAAATTGCGAAGTGCGAGCCGTTAATTCGTACCCTGGAGAAAATCAAAAATCAGTCCAGTCCAGTCCAATTGTCCAGTCCAGTCCAACAGTCCAGTCCAACTGTCCAGTCCAGTCCAACTGTCCAGTCCAGTCCAGTCCATGTTTTGTACTATGCCGATAAAACCCTGTCTAGATGGGCCGGCGTCAAGGATAATGATTGGATAATATTTTTAGAATATGATGCATTAAGCCATTATACATTTTTTGCATTCTTTATCCAAACCAGGAATCGCTAACAAATTCACCAGAGGTTTTTCCTTTTTCTTTGCGCGTTTTCTCGCATTTCGCGTTCGGCAAACGTAAAAAAACCTCTGGGCCAGGGTAAAGAATACCAGGTTTATCAATAATTTTGAAAAATTCAGTTTCTCAATGGTAACATTGATTACACTGGGTTTTTTTTCTGTGCTGGTGTTGTGTACTCAGGTGAATAATATGTTTGTGATGTTACTCTGAGTGCATGTCCACACCGGACGAGCTTGAAAAATATGCCCGGCCACGGTGGGATACGAACCTACAACCTTTGGTTACACTGTGTGATTCCAGTGTAGTAATAATGTTGTGTTGCATAGAAAAAGTATTGATCAACATAAATTATGCTGGTTTGCAAACTTAATTTTAAACATTCGGATTTTGCAGGCATTATGCAAAAAAAGTACCGAAAATATAGAATGTTACTTCTTGTTAATCCTGATTATTTTTAAGAATTTTTATGAAAATATACATTTTTTGTTCTTATATGTCAATTAAGACTAAAACTAATATATAATCACAAAAATAAAGTTTAATTTATAGCATATTTCCTTCAAATTTTATATAAGAAATAAATAAGACTGGTATTCTGTGGTACATACACCTGTATGTCAAGACAAGTTTCAATTATAGAATCGCTCTGTATTCCTTGTTTGGGCATGGCTTTTCTGGCTTGCTCTCTAATCAATGATGTGACTGCTTTTGGCGAAACCTTTTTTAAGAGACAACTTTATTTTCGGTAACTATAAATTTTGATTGCTTGTCAGTCATGGTCAAGAGTCATTCCGTCAGTCACAAGAACTCAAACCCCAGGCATAATTTTCATTGCATCGGGTAAAGTGTATACACACCTTCAATATACGCTTCCGGAAAGTATATCCTGACTGAGATGTGGCCTTTAACTTAGCCTGCAAACAGGCAATCTCAAGATGAATTGGATATCAGTGTAATCTAATAATCATGATATTTGCTGTGTTGGTGCAGTGTACTCAGGTGAATAAGATGATATCGAAGAACTAGACTCAGTTCCGAAATATCACATACTCGAACCGACCTGACCACGTAGCTCAGTTGGCAGAGCATTGGGCTAGTATTCCAAAGGTCGTAGGTTTGATTCCCACTGTGGCCAGGCACATTTTTCAAGCCTGCCCGGTGTGGATATACACTCAGAGTAACATCACAAACATTATATATTTAAACTTTTGCTTGAATATCTTATATTTTGAAAAACAGTATGGACTGTACGGCCTAAATTTAGTTTGCACAGTTTAAATTTAGTTTGCACGAAAGTTGTAAAGAACACCATTAAGGATAGACGTTCCATATTTGGAAAAACGAACGTTACAGGGCAGATATTCAGTGCAGGCTCTCAATTCACCTTGAGAGCCTGCTCGCAGGCTACCTTTAACTGTGTCAGATACACAAAAACAAGGCTCTATAGCCAAAGTGACGTACTTTCCGGAATGTTGTATTTAAGGTGTGATACACCTCAGCCACATAATCACCTATTATCACCCACTTGCTCTGACAAAAATTAAATATTGCATTTTTCACCATTTAATTGCCTATTTTGCCAATCTGATCCACAAAGGATACAATATGTAGGGAGACAATATATAGGATTTATTATATGTCTTTTCAAAATTCTCTATTCTGATTGGCGGTCCGTAAAAACCCATATCCGGACCGTGGTCCGTATTTTCCGTATCTGGACCGGTGTCCCGGATGTCGTTTATCTGGTGGGAAATTTTTGCTTTGCAAACAGAAAAATTTTTTGCTTTTTAAATTTCCAATTGTGCTTTACAGATAAAAATTTCAAATAACCAAATTGTTTTTGATTGAGCATGCATATACCTACAGTATATTAATGCTACCCAGTGAAAATGACGATAGCCTATTTAATTCGCGCGAAAAGCATATGCTCACAGACTCAGTTCTGTCATATAATAAACCGATTATTGACCTCGCTTGTTCAGTCTGTACTGTGAAATATCAGACCTCTGTTTTTTGCATGGACCTCGCTCCTTCGTTGCTCAGTCCATACTAAAAAATGTTGGTCTGATATTTCACAGTACAGACCTCGCGCTCGGTCAATAAGCCGTTAATACAGGGAGAAGGAATTTGTCTTCTGAGTTGCAGTGTATAAGGGGCTGTTGATATTGGCCGGGCCGAAGCCTGGCTAGCTGTGACGTAATGTTTAATTTCCTGACGCATAAAAGATCACTTGGGATCTTGGGATCAACTGTGTTTGAAATGTCATTTTGGATGTTTATTAAAACTGTGATATAACTATAAGCTTTATTAAACAAATCATTCAGGTTAACTGAGCCAGCCCAGCCCCATATGAACATCCCCGAAGGAAACTACGAAGTATTGTTACATGTATAAATAGTTTGTCATTATCAGCCAGTGAATTAACTTACCATATTTGCCTTCCGTCTGCCTGGTAAATGTTAATAAGTCTTGTTCACCAATTGATGCGGTGTTTAATATTGTTGGCGAGGCAGTTTTGCCTTCAAATAGGATGACGAATAGTAAAAGGAGATGAAATATCGTATAAAAACATCCAATCTTAAAACAAATGCAGACCATTTTGTCATTGAAAACTTATATATATTTTTAGCTGACATATGCTGTCAACAACTTATCAACACTGAATATTAACCTGCATTCAGGCTGCTACAAGCGCATTCCTTAAACTGAGGAAATTTGGAATTTGAAATTTTATTTGAAAATATTGAAATAACATAAAAAAAAATCAGTCATATTAGCTGTTTTTATGTTTGCCAAAATACTGTTCAAAAACGTCTTAGGCATTTAGGGCATTTAGAACTGCAAACATTTTGTAACGAAGATATTCCTTGACCAACAAATAGCAAAATTCCTTTCGAGGTCTTTCGACTACACTGCACAACAGCACAAGATCCCAATTTCCAAACGAGACAAAAATTCAGAGAATCTAACTTTGTATTAATTCTCAATACCTCTAGGCCATTAAGGGGGCCATTCACTATTAAAAAAGGCCCTGCCACGTTTAAGGAAATTTTGCTGAATCTGAGGATATTTTTATCGATAATCTAAGGAATTCTTAGCAATGGGAAGTGAAGAGCATTGCTGATTGGTCAGTTTTAAATGTAATGGTTGTTATTTAAATCAAACAACATTTAAAAGCGTGAACACAAAATAATTCTATAAAAAATTGTATTTTCAGCTTTTCTTCTTGTATTAATTGGATAACTGTGGTACAGGAAAGCTTGTATATTTTCAAAATGGACGAAAAGGTTAGTTTATTGTCGTAATTTAAAAAATTAGATAGACTATTCATATTTATATTATTTTAATTTCAACGGTCGATATTTCAATATCCTAGGGGAAGTTTATCCTGGGAAATGGTTCGAAGACTTATGTCTGTTTAGTTAATTTCATATAAATCAAGTATGAAGTATAATATTTGTCGAAAGACTGTTTGCGTTCTAAATTTGTGCCTGGATACAAGACTTACGGCGACTACAAGGCACAAAGAACAAATACTAGCAGGTTCGGATACTGACTATAAAATCAAACTCCTTTATTTTCGATATTTCAAAATAAATAAGAAACGCTAGTGGTCCACCTTTTACAACAGAATAGTAAAAGGTAGTTGCCGTCATCTGTAAATGATTCAACATGTTAGCACTCATAGTGCAAAAACTCTTTCCTGTCCTGAAACTGGACAAATTACAGTACTGCACTGTACTGTACTGGCAGCACTGTAGGAGTATAAACTTCAGAATACGCGGCCACTTAACCCATTGAGTGGCAGCACTCTCCACTTGACGAGTAAAAAATCGTTTGGCGTTAGACAGAGGAAAATACTTTGGTGTTAGACAGAGTAAAATACTAAAGTAGGCGCATTGGTGTGCATTGCCACTTTTTAACCCGTGGCTATATGACTATGTGACTACGTGGCTATCTGACTATGTGCAGGGATGGATTTACTGGGGGGGTGCACCCCCTAGCCCAGGCCAGAGGGGGTGCATGGGGGGTGCTGTTTTTCATGATAAAGCAAAAAAATTGTTAGAGACAAAATGAGATACAGTAATTTGTATAGGTAATCATGTGATGGCGAGTACAATATTAGAGATTAATAGTACGAGTGATGTTTGGAAATTTCGCCAAAATTGGATGAGCCGCCAGGGCGAGTCCAATTTGGCAAATTTCCAAACATCACGAGCAACATCGCATCATTACTTGTTTATTATTAGCATGACAAAATTGGTTACGTACTTCTCAATGTCAACATCATATTCTCTTGCCAAAGCCCAGTCCTGCCAGACTTTCAACCAAAATTTGGTGCTTTTGTTTGTATTTTCATTTAGTTCTTTTGTTAACCAAAATTTGGTGCGTTTATTCGTATTTTCATCTAGTTCCTCAAGGGCAATTTCATTTCACATTTGTGTTCAAAATATGCCTTTCTGCCATTTTGTTTGTTTTGGAAAAATCATTAATTGTACTGCAGTACAATTAATGAAATAATTGTACTCCTCTCAACCAATCAGCATCCAGTAATTTTTTCATGCTAATAAAAAGAGTAATAACATGATGATAAGCAAACTGTGAACAACATGAATTACTGCAATTCAAATACAGTAGTCAAGAAAGACTTTGCAGTAGTGAAGCAAGTTGATGGGCGGGCGGCACACATGACCGACACAACTCTGCGCCAGAGCTGGCAGAGCACCCCCCCCCCCCTACCAGATCATGCTGGATCCATCCCTGACTATGCACACACATGGCTACCTGTCTACATAGCTATACTTGTAAATAATTTCTGAAGAATTTGCACAATGCTTTTGTGAACCAATAACCAAGCACATTTCTGATCTGCCAATGGGAAATCGTGAAATATATAGTGCAAGTTTGCTTTGAATGTTTAATGTTTATGAATTTTGTTGCTTTAGTTCCTTGTGTAAAACATGCATGCAGGCTTGCAGCTAGCTTTCCTTTTCAGTACAGAAAAAATTCATGAAGCTGCAAGTTTCCTAAATTACCCTGTTTAATTTAAGAAAAAAAGGTAAAATGTAAAGGAGAGCAAATTAATTTGAAGAATACGTACCGGTACTCCACAACTTATTTTGTTTTATTAAATAAAAAAATTTAAAAATTGTCGTGTTTTTATGACAACACTGATGTAGACGTGAGTATGCGTTCAGTGTTGATCAATTACTAATACAGTACTCCATGTAAGTCGATCAATGTTTGGAAAATATAGGCGAGGGCTTGCTGCATGCATGTATTTCTAGTATCTGGCTGGATAGCAAGATAATCTCCCCTTATCAGGTATCCAGCCTGATACTGGATATTGTTTATTTAACCCTTTAAGTGGCAATGTGCCCAGATGCACCCCACTTTATTATTTTACTCTGTCTAATGCCAGATGATTTTACTCTTCAGCAGGAGAGTGCTGCCACTCAATGGATTTATCAGACTAATAGATGATCTGCCCATGCACCCTGTTAACCCTTTAAGTGGCAATGTGCCCAGATACACCTCACTTTATTATTTTACTCTGTCTAATGCCAGACAATAGGCAATTCCAGCTTTTAGTTTATGCGTGCAGGGGACGATGGGAAGTAAGGTATCACATTGCTGATTATGCTGAAAAAAATAAAAATAGTGGCCGTGTAAACACAGAGTGATAGCTATAGCTTATACTTGTAAATATTGAAATATTTCGATTGTTTTGGTAGTTTGAAATGAAATGTTTCAGCATAATCGGCACTATGACCTTACTTCCCATCATCCCCGCAGGCATAAACTAAAAGCTGGAATTGCCTATTTTACTTAATTTATTAACTTCGCCAGATAGTCTTAACAGTTATAATTACAAAGTAATAATTTAACGAATTAACTAAATAGACTATATGCAGGGTATTCGCAACAGCGATTTGCCATGAATTACTGCGAACCCAAGAACAATACTGTACGTTAACATCAAATATCAAAAAGTAACAACGAACTTCATGCATTCTTGTTCGGGGACATAGAGTAGCATTTTTATATGAAAAACAAATTAATTATTTTCGACTGCAGTGTACCTACAGCAGCACTCTCCCCCTGACAAGTCTCGCCGACCAGGTATTTGACTGAAAAGTACAAAAACATGCGTTCTGAGGTTAATCTATTGAATTGGTTCGAGTCATATTTGACAGATCGTCGTCAACGCGTGACTGTACTCGGCGTAACCTCAAGCACCCTTCCTGTGACCTCGGGCGTTCCACAAGGATCAATACTTGGTCCTGCACTCTTCCTGTTATATGTGAATGATCTACCCGAAGCAGACTTGTCCTCTCGAGTTGCAATTTTTGCCGATGACACTAAGCTATTCTCTGCAATTACATCTCAGAACGATGTAGCATCTCTCCAAGGTGATCTTATGAACTTAGAACATTGGTCATCTCAGCCAGGCCTGTCTTTCAACCAATCCAAATGCAAACATCAGACAATCACGCGTAAGATTGTGCCATTTACGTCATCATATAAGCTAGAAGACACCAAAGTAACTACCACCGACTGCGAAAGAGATCTTGGCGTATGGGTGTCTTCCAATCTTACGTGGAAAAAACAAGTGTGCAACCAAACGTCAAAAGCGAACAAGTCCCTTGGCTACATCAAAAGAAGCACCAGATTCGTGAAAAGTACTGCAACAAGGCGGATGTTCTACCTGGCCCTAGTTCGGTCACATTTTGGTTATTACCACAATCAATAGAACTTATCAACCATCTTGAACGAACCCAACGACGTGCTACGAAATTCTAATTCTACCATTCTCCTCGGATATAGACTATAAATCAAGATTGCAGTCGTTGCATCTCCTCCCAATACAGTATGCTACTGGCACGAATACCTTGATTTGATTCTATTCTTTAAGATCACACATGGTTTACTGAAAACAAGCGCCTCTCCAGTTATTCAGAGTTCTCGCAGAACCACTCGCTCAAATTCAAGCAACACGGTCAAGTATGTCATCCCCAGATGTAAAACAACCAGCTACCAGAAATCCTTTCTTGTTAGAACTTCCAGAATATGGAACACACTAATAGATGCAATAGACCTTCGTACGGACAGTCTAGCTGTATTCAAATCATGTTTACGTAATTATTATTTTACTTCTGTTGACATTACTTATAATCCTGAAAATCTGCGAACATTTAGATTGAAAATAGATAATGGATGATAGAAAATCTGCGAACTTTATGCTTGAAGTGCAACTGTGTTCGTAGTTTAGCGTCTCCAATATCTTGCTGTTATTGAAAATTTTAGCACAGCTACAGTAGCTACATGTCCTACATGGCGACTGCTCATGCTGTGCTTATATAGTCGTTACCATGCATCGATTTGTTCAATTTCTGTTCAGCTAGTGCATGTTATTATCATATCATGATCAGTTACCGTATAGCTAGCTAAATACTTAGTTGTAGAAATGCAATTTCGTGCCCATGTGAGCATGCAGTTGAAGGAGTTTCAGATCATCTGGGAATCCAGGTTGCGGCATGCTGTTACGATTGCCTCACAAAGCTCTCTCAAATTATTTGATTGTTGATCCAAATTTGACGCTTCAAGTAGCCCGAAAGAGAAAAATTACACACCGTCAGGCCAGGAAAATGAGGGGACCAACGTGAATACCCAGTTTATTCATCAGTCGTCCAAGAAATTGCCCCTGAGGATATTGTATAGTTGCGTTACTTGTTGTCAAAATTAATTAGGCTTTTTTTTTTGCTAATTTTCGACAATTTTGACAATGTTTACTTATATTCAATTACCCAAATATCTCGGCCAAAACTGTGTTATAATACACATGGCATATACCAAAATTTAAGTTAGACATTTCTGAACTAAATGCTTCTTGCTTAAATGTAATAATAGCTCTTTTAATTTTTAATTAGTTATATTGAATTAAAGAGGAGTACTACTTTGTTTCGGATCACCCAGTGTTATTTATCAAACTGATTTGTACATGAAATGATTGTAGAGAACCTGGCAATATTATCAAGGTTTTATAGAGATGCATTAATAAGATGCAATTTATGGTGATGCGTACTAGGCATAGCCTGTTGATTACGGTGGTTCGTAATGTTTGACCTGATCTATAATATGCAATAGGTATTTTCAGATAACCTAATTCAATATAGCTAGAGTGCAACCTCACTCAGTACACTTTACTGCTTAATGAACCAAGCAAACCACAAAAATGTGTGTTTATAGACACACTAGCCATTGTTGTAAAAATTATTTGGATGGGGAGAGGTTGACTGGTCCAGCCCATGCATCCCCCACTCCTACAGTCCAGATACATAAGAGCTGGGGAATTTGAACAATGCTTTTGAAACGCCAGTTATGCTTTTCAGTTTTCAGTAAAAGCAAGGAAAGAATTTTCTCTTTTGCCACATGCTATAATAGTATTTTATCTTAAAAATACAAAGTAACTTAAGTTTTAAATGAATTCTAGTTTATGTCCACTGATGGGTATGCATGTTGGTAAATGCGCAAACAGGAATTATATTGCATAGAGTTATACATGTACGAACTACATCATCTGATTAACAAAGTGTTCCATAATAAATAAGGTTAATTTATTAATTAAGGGTAATCCCCCCAGTAATTACAGTAATTTACCCCGTACGCCCCCCCCCCCATCCCTGGTGGCAAGATATAGTGCCCACGGTCTTTTCTAAAAATTATACGAGAATTTTATTGGGACATCGCAAAGGAATCGAATGGATGGGAAAAAATCTCACCAAACGTTTTCCGATTTCCCCGATTCCCCTGAGATGCTTCTGGAGGAGGATAGTATGTAGTAGTACAGCTATGTATTAGAAATGTGTCCGTTTGGAGAAATGTGTCCCGCCCAGTTGGCTCTTCACTCGTTCACTGTGATCTCAAGAAAGAAAGAAAGAAAGAAAGAAGGCAGTGTATCTCTTTTCAACCACCAACGTGCTAAGAATTCATACTATCGGTAAAGTTGTCTGACTTACTCGAATATGGTCGCAATAAAGGACAAGGCATTTGTCCGAATCCTAAAAATTACCAAATCGTCCTGGCAAAAGGAATATATTGTAATTCCATGCATGATCCTATAATATTTAATAATTTATATTCTGCTAACTACCAATAATATTTCATTTTAGAAATCTGAGTCTAAAAATGTTGCATTTTTTACAATAGACAAAAGAAAATGGATTGCTGGACGATAGTCTGACCAGTATTCAGTGGCTTTGTCAACTGGAATCAAATAAACTCCTGAAATCTAAGTCATACGATAAGTGTCAGTCCGTGACTTCCAGCTCAGCCAGCCGTCCTGAAGAAAACAATAATCCGTATCCAAAGCCACAGCATTCATATGCTACTTTGATTGTGTTGGCTATTAACAGTGCAAGGGATAAACGAATGACATTACAAGGCATCTACGCTTGGATTGAACACAATTTCCCATATTATAAATATGCGAAGAAGGGCTGGAAAGTAAGTAAAATAGCACAATCCAACAATTTTGTCCCATTCCATTATAATCTGTAGACTGTACCATGGTGTGGTTTAGGAGTGAAAACATGTTTTATGTCTGCTCATGTGTAGGGTTTTTTCGATCAATTTTTCTTCGACGAGTTTCACGAGCCCGCATTATTTCGTGTTAAAGCTGCTACCAAAAACATTTAAAACAGCTGAAATTATATCTACGATACCACACTTCAAATTAAAGCGAATTTCAAAGTAAACGAGATGTAATGGCAATGGCTGCTCGAGGACGAGTGCGCAATTACTTAATGTCAAGTCTTCTATGGAGCCTCGTTTTCGTGATTGAGATTTTCGTTTAAAACCTTTTATCTTGTTACAAGTGACAAATTTACGAATTCATACAATTGCACTGGTGAACGGTAAAAGATCTGTTTAAAAGATCTGATTGAGCTCATTGCAGAGTGTTTTCTTAACTTCCTGGTTTAATTTACGGACTTTGTGTTGTGTTGTGTTGTGTTGTGTTGTGTTCGTTGCTATTCGTGGATTATTTTCGTTAGTCAATTACAACGCACGTAACAGAACAGGAAGTTAGGAACTTGTAACATGAAGTATAATATTAAGAACTTCTAACAGGAATTGAGGAAAATTTAATGGCTTTGATAGGAACATTGCAAAGGTAATGCGAGAAATTGCAATCAAGTTAGGAACTCAAAAGATGAACGCTTGACGTAGTTTACCTGTAATAAAACTCTGTTGAGCATGTACTGCAGATGGTCGTGTTATTTTGAAATGGGTGTAACCGAAGTATATTTCATTTTTGTTTTAGAATTCCATTCGACACAATTTATCACTTCACAAATTTTTCATCAAAGAACAACGTGCTGACGTTCTTTGTGGTAAGGGAAGCTTTTGGCGCATCTCACCCGAAGGCAAGGAAAACCTGATGCGCGATTTTCTGAAACCACCTACTAACCTTAAACCACCGATAGCACTTCTCCCATACGACCCTAACCGGAAACTACGACATATTTTGCCGAAGCCTTGTTCAGACGCAACGAGATTACAGTACGTTCCACTCGTCGACTATAACCTTCCCATTCTCCTTGTACCAACTGCGAACGAGGCTGCAAATCAAATATCTCTTGATCCAGTTCAGTCACTACCTACTCAAGAGCAAAGGGATTATTATGCAAGCCCATTTCAACAAGGTTTGGTGTGTACCACTTCTAAGTCAGCGACTCAATCGGAAGTAGTTGACAGTGCAAGTAATTCAATGTCATCTTCTCAGACTGTTGAAGGGGTTAATAAATTTTACGCTTGTGAAAGTGAAGGTCAGTCTTTTAGTGGAACATGTTTGGAGGCAACAACTACAAAAGCTCATTTGTATACACCAACCCAAGGTCAGAATAGGCACAAAACTGCGAGTCGTAAACCCAAAGAAGCTTCGTCAAAGCGACAACGTTCGCAAGCGTCGAAAACCCCAAAGCGAGTTCCCAATATATTGCGACGAAAGAAAAGGCTCCTCGTGAAATCCCCAGAACGGCAGGAGGCAATAATTGAAACCCAACTCAAAAGCAGTGTAGAGTCGACTTTGGCTGCAATTAATTGTAGCAACTACGCGCCTTATTCTCCAAAGAGACGGGTCGACGACCTTGGCAACACATTGTGTGCACCTGGATTTTCACCTGTAGGACACAATCGCTCGTTTGACTTTATCCAACAAGGCTTTGGCAGTCCAGGAATTTCACCACTTCGATTGCCAGTTTGTTTTAGTTCCGGTTTCACACCTCTTAGACAGGGTGGTTGTGATCTTGGCACAGTGAGTACTCCAACCAATTCTTGCCTGGGAGATTTATCTTTCAATTGGACTCCATTTAACACGGGGCTGACACCAATATCGGCTAATACTTCACCATCTAATTTTGGCAGTAATACTCAGCGGTGTCGAAAGTCGCTTGGGCTTGATCAAGTTAATGAAACAACTGAATCTACTCAATTAAGCCCTTCTTGGTAGGGCTTCATCAGACGTTCATATAAATTACAGTAAAAATCCGTATAGAAGAACCAGTGGATTAAGAATCAACCCGAAATTTATGCAATTAAAGGGATACGGCAATATATATTTTTTATTTCATTTGAAAGAACTTTTAAAATTATATGCAAAACTCCTTTACCGTTTATTCGCATCTTGCTTAGTTTTTTGAATATTTTCACTTAAAATAATTAGCGTCCGCCATCTTGGATAAATTTTTATCTCATCGGTGATTTTAGTGACGTCCAAAGCTGGGTTAGCCATATAAAACTACATCTAAATGACCAAATAACAGTAAGTCTTGTTTGAAAAGTTGTCAGTCACTTTCTTATTTGAAATAGTTTGGGCTCATACAGTACAGTAATAACCAATTGCTCTCTGGATAAAATACTTGCGTGACCCTGCTTACGAGTAACATGTATATCTGCCAAAATCCAAGATGGCGGAAAGCTCGCTGATTTGTGTGTTTTTTTCTGTCAAAATATCTCAAGAAATAATAAAGTTACGCAAAATCGGTGAAGGAGATTTACATATAATTTTAAAAGTTCTTCTAAATGAAATTTAAAAAACATGTTACCATATCCCTTTACGCACCAAAAATATACAAGAACCACTTCAGGCTAGCAAATGAGATATCAGATTGGTTCTTAAAAATCTTAACTCTTGTGCTTTAGCTGAACTGCCGAAGTAGAAATTTTGAAGGGCAAGTATAGACGGGTACCGGCCTTCATATTTAATTTAATATAATTGCAAATTTTATCAAATGGAAGCTTTTAAATAGTCAACAATTATTCACTGAAGTGGAGGCGGTATATAAAACAAAAATGACCACAAAAATACAACAAAAATAAACAAATGAATTTGTACCACAGCTTCGGTAATAGTTGTAAACAAAACAATTTTTACAGGCTTTTAGAAATTTTATTCATTAGAAATAGTCGACGTTTTACTTGTATTTTTCAAGTACTCTGTGTTTTTCAAGTATTATATGAGTACCACGTACTTCAGCCTGACATAAAAAATAATGGTTCTTTTGTGCAGCTTTTTACTGTATATGAAAATAACTCAATATAAAAGAGAAATATACGTTGTTCGAGTTGAGTGTCACGTGTGATACTGGATATATTGACCCCAGTAAATTGATACTATAAGGGCTATAAGACTATAGATCAAAATTTATTTAGTGCAGACTGAATTGAAATTAATTCACTATACTTATTGTATTGATGTTTTTAGTATCTGTACGAGATGTCATTTTAAACCTCGGAAACCTTAAGAGGGGCCTGTACCGGATTCCGAAATCCCGCCATCCCGACCGATTTTCACTTCAAATCCCGTCATCCCGCCATGCGTCATCCCAATTTCCCGCTCCAGAATTATTTTCTAACACTGTTCAACGTATTATGATTTAAAGAACATGGTAACGACATAAAACACAATTTGAATACACTAGAATACAATACAACAAAGTTAAAAATAAAAAATGACTCTAAATCGCGACTCGTATGAAAGAAGCAATCATACATGTAACCATGCATTTACATTGATTGGATGGATGGGGGACAAATGTTGTCAAATCTTCGACATCATCCTTGAAAACAGTAAATTTCGAGCAGACAAACAAATGACAACCGATCAGCTAACGTACGGCCACAGTATAGGGAGACAACCAGTAGGGCCACTTAGCAATCTCGTACCCAGAGCAATGCCTGTGCGCGGGCTAGGATGGCATTGGCTCTGGGGAAATTGAATTTTTCCTGTGCTGTGATTGGTTTAACGTCTATCAATCATGCATGCCGACAAAGAACCGGAACCCCAGAATTTAGGGGTTCCGGTTTCAATTTCCCCAGAGCCAATGCCATCCTAGCCCGCGCACAGGCATTGCTCTGGGTACGAGATTGGCCACTTAGGGGAGAGAAAAGTGGCAATTATTTAAGCTAGGTTCCAGGTGTCTTACGCGGCCAAAATCATTATTCTGTAGTACAATTTTATAGTGGACTGCTGTCGTTTACTGGCTGCCAATATGTAAATTAGGTTGGCAGCCAGTAAACAATGTAGACACTTTTTTACGCTGAGTGGCCCTACTGTACTTTTCCTATACTGTGGTACGGCTACAAGTTTTGTTGATTTATCCCGCTAATCGTGAGTTAATTTCCGCATATCGCCATGGTATTTTGATTAATCCCACTTCCCGCGATGGAATAAAATCCCGCTTCCCGCCAATATTTCTCTCAAAATCCTGAATCCCACTTGAATTTTAGACGCATCCCGCAAAACCGGTACAGGCCCCTCTCTTAACACCCAGGAAAGGTCCCATTTAGTATCATTACTCTGACTATGTAGACTATGTAGTCTATGTATGTTCGGAATAGTTGCTTACCTTATCCAGCAAATTAACTTCTTTGGAACTGTTACATAAATCTGACAAATGAAACTACAGGGTCAGGGTGGAAAAAAAAGTAAAGTAGACAATTTTAAAACGGATCTCAATTTCACAAATCCGTTCATTTCATAATTTTTTTTATACAGATAGATTGTTTGGGTACTTATAATGTAGAAAAAAACATAAAATAACAATACGCAAATTAGGTGAAGCCATGAATTAAGCATGTGTAATAGGCATCGGTGCCAAAAAATGAACGTCTATGGTTACACCCTGTATCGCAAAATCGTTATAACTTATTCTATGACTTCAGTTACGTATTGAGCTCATGGCAGGGTGTAAGCCTGCTCGCAGGTAACGTGCACAATAACTGTTTTAACATGAAGTTTTGAATGTTAGCAAAATAATTTTCCACGTGTGCGAGTGTATAAAATTTAAATGGCAAAACACAAATTTTAGGAATGTTTTTGTAACGAAAAAGACGCTTCAAACACTGTAATATTTAGCAGAAAGGCTATAACTGCATGGAAGTTGTTAAGAAGTATTGGTTAGCTGGAAATATAGACGATACTTTGAAGGAAATCCGTCAAATATTGGAACGACAGGATGGTTCAATTCCAGACACGGACGCTTTACTTCTGTTTTCCTACATTTTTTATCAGTTAGGAAACATGAAACATTCAGCTGAATTGTTAAGCAGAGGTATGGCTGTTGTTTATATATAGTTATTGCTGCTAGTGGTTTCAGCTAACAAGCTAACATATTTCCTACTTGATATTTTCAGTTTTCTTTCATCTTTCCTGGATTTTTTCTCTACAAATGTCCAATTTTTATATATAAACTTCAACATTTGGAATCTTATTATTTTTTTTTGGGGGGGGGACTATAGCCCACCTAGCCTGTACCGTTCCACTGCCACAGATAATTTGGCTGCAGTGGCATGTGAGATTGAGATAATGTGATTGAGTGTTTTCAGATTGAATTCATTACTGTACCAAACTTGGCTGTTGGGTTTTCTTCAGGTAGCCCTGTTTTCTTTTGTAGTAACACTGGAACAATAACGGATGGTCTTCAACAGACCTCTAGTCTAGAGAGAACAGTTTAAGATTAAACGTCAGCGCTTACCCCTTGACAAGTAAAATCGTCTGGCATTGGGCAGAGTAAAATAATAAAGTAGGGCGCATCAGGACGCAATGTGACTCAATGGGTTTAATAGTAGGTGCGGCAGAGTAAAATAATAAAGTAGGGCGCATCAGGACGCAATTACGACTCAGTGGGTTAATAGAGCTACAGTACTGAGAATAAGTTATGCTTATCCTAGCCATGTATATTAATTCATAAAGTTAATTTACCATGATCATTGTGCTAAGATGTCTCCTTTTACCAATAGCCAGCTGGTATTTCAAACTCTGAGTTTGCAGTATATACAGTTTTGAATGTACAGGAATTTAGCCCATCCAACTGTCCTATGGACGGCCACCTTTCACTTTTGACAGCCACTTTTTAATGGATGGTTAAGAAAATTTTGTCACACAGCAGCAACCAGCAAGCTTTTTGATATTTCTTGAATACCTGAAAAGTTGTCAGAGAATATAGATTGCTGCCCCCACAATATTTTTTGGATGGCCAGTTTTGATACTTCGCGATTCCCCTTAATATGCTTTTGTAGCGCTTTGCATTGTGGTTATAGTGGTATCACTGATATTCAAGGTGGCTTTTTTTGTCCTGACCCGTGCAAGAATTTTTTTAAAAAGCTAGGATCAGGTGAGCGATAGCCAACGGCAAAATATTCGTGAAAACATTCGCAAAACATTCAATATTTTCATTCGAGGCCGCTATCTTTATCAGTGATACCACAGTGACTATAACCACAATACAAAGCACTACGAAAATGTAATACGGGGAATCGCATATTAACAATCAAATTGTTACTTAAAGCATCTACCTGACATCTCACTTTCAGTCAAATTTGATATGTTTGATGTGAAGCAATGGATTGTTGAGAACAGTATACTTGTTTTAAAATATTTGGTAAGCATGCTGTTTGGACTACATATAAATACTTTATTTTATCCAGGGCCAGGTTTAGAAAATCACCCCTGATCATGCAGCTTTCAATAGCAGAGAGAAATTAGTGAATATGGAGTGATTTGTGTCTGAATTACATAACAAATTTGAAAGATTGAGCACAGATTTTTTACATATTTCATTCACTAGCAAAGGGTTGCTATTTTGAACAATAAGACATTGTTTTTAACTAAGTCATTCAGATCTTTACAGCAGAGATTGCCTGCATAGCATTACTGGGGGGGGGGGGCAACATAGTTCACTAGAGGGTTAACATGCAGGGGGTTTTCAAAATTTTTTGGTGGGTCCGTTTTTTGTACAAAAGATTGAGTTTGCCTATATACAGTAGCTGGGAGTCTGGGGGAATCTGTTACTCCTAACCCCCCAGATTCACAATTTTATTTAAATAGATCAGTTGAGTTTGCAATGAATTAAAGATGGTGCATATCAATGTTTTCACATTCTTGTTCATTTCTTGTACTGTGAAACGAATTCCATGCTGTCTGTTTGCGTTTCTCTTACTTTGCGGAGTTTTCCATAGAAAACATATTTCCACATCAAATTCAACATGAAAAACTTCAATTTTACTGCACATATACTTTTCATGACATGATTGAGTTTCTAAACCCAATAGACCTATTAGAAGTGCTTATACGTCACGTAATTTTCAGATAACGAATCACTGACCCAAAAGTATCCCACAATATACTGTGAATTCCAGAAGTCCTGTGTATTAAAAATTGTGTAATCACCTCTATAAGGTCTATTGAAGATTAAGTTTTAGGGATCTATTTAATGTCCTTGAAAATCCCTGAACCTGGGGGCTGGGTATACCTTTCCTGGGTACCTTCCCTCTCTCCCAGTTTATAAGAGGCTTTGCAGGCTATCCACATTGTCTGAGCCATGATATTTTGTACAAAATGTCCTTTTCTCTGCTAATTTCGTTATCGGTATAACTCTATGTAACTTGTTCCAACAGGAGAGCAAGAGTTTGGAAGATCAGAAAACAATTGCCTTATCATATGGTTTATTACATGAGAAGATAGGAGGTGTGATATGAACTAAGTTAAGATATTGGGTCGTTTAATGACGTTCTGTCTTTTTTAAAGAAAAACGATAATAATGCACTAATTTTTCAGGCTTACCTTTTACCGATGTGTGTCGTCTTGAACTTAAGGTCTGTTTGAACTATGCTTTGGTTATGTTCTGTTCAACCACCCAACAAGTGCTTGTTCCTGGTGGATATAATGTGAGCCAAGCTGGCCTTCTTAAAACACTTAGTAGAGGTATAATGACGTTGTAATATTGCCCTCATTTACACTAGAATGGGATGTTGTTATTGGACGAACTTGAACAAAGAAATGGCGGCCCATCTGATGATAGACTTCAGTTCACATTTGCCCCACACATGAAAGTTATACAAACATGAATATGTTTTTAACTTGGTGCCAATCGAAAGCCTATTGTAGTAAAGTGTTGTATGTCAGGATTTGGGCATCTGACTCGATATAACTAATTGACCATTTGCGTAATAGACTAAATTTTGATCTAAACAAGTCTAGACAAAAATTTCATCACAGCTTGAAAGAGCATCACAAAATTAGTAATATTCCAAAGTTTCGTTGCGAAATGTTGTAAAATGCGGAAAATATAGCCTTGCGAAGTTTGCAATTTTCAGTCATTTTAGATTACAAACGGGAAATTGACAGCCTCGAAGGGTTTGGGGCTGTCAATTTTATCTAAAATTAAGTGAAAATAGGTTGTCCGGAAAATTTTTTTGACCCCTAAAATGGTACACAGACCGAAATTTTTTTTTTCAAACCAAAATTGCCCGACTGTTGATCGAATATTGCCCCCGCCCGGTACGCCTATGTGCTATCATTTATTTATAAGAGACCTTTGATTGCCCTGCCAATCGGGATGATTCGTATTTTGGGGGGTGTAACACCCCCCACACCCCCCTCAAGTTTCGCCCCTGCAAAGTTATCTAGCTAAGAAAGAATTTTTCTGTGATTCACAATATGGTTTTCGTAAACAACACTCAACCCAACATGCTATTCTTGATATTATTAACAAAATTCAAGATAATATGGATAGAAAAATGTACTCCTGTGGTATATTTATTGACCTAAAAAAGGCATTTGACACGGTTAATCATGATATTCTGTTGGGTAAGCTAGATTATTGAGGTATTAGAGGAGTAATCAACAACTGGTTTTCTTATCTTAAAAATCGCACGCAAACTACTTCAGTTGGAAACTGTGTATCTAACAAAGAAACTACCTTGTGTGGAGTACCCCAAGGCTCAGTTCTTGGACCTCTACTCTTTTTGATCTACATCAATGATATTTGTGAATCATCTGAGATTTTCAAATTCTTTCTTTTTGCTGATGATACTAACTTATTGTATGCTGATAAAGACCTAAAAATGCTTGAAACAGTTGTCAACACTGAATTAAAGAAAGTCTGTGAATGGCTTGCAATAAACAAACTCACCCTTAATATAAGTAAATCAAATTTTGTAATTTTTCGACCATATCAGAAGTCATTGAATTTCCAGCCTATAATTAGAATGTTTGATAATGATACCAAACAATATATACCACTTGAATGCAAAGAATATGTTAAGTACCTTGGAATTATTATTGACTGTAACTTGAACTGGAAGCATCATATAAATTATATTACATTAAAGATTAGCAAAACTGTAGGAATCATTTCTAAATTGAGATATTACATCCCAAATCATACCTTGTTAGATATTTATAGGTCATTGATTTCACCATATTTAACATATGGTGTAGTTGCTTGGGGAAATGCTGCTAAAGTTCATATTCAAAAACTTCTTGTTTTACAAAAGCGTGCATTACGACTCATGAATTTTAAATCATTTCAAGATCACGCAATTCCTCTATTCCTTTCTACCTACATTCTTCCTGTAACTATGATCTATGTTAAAGAATCTGCTTACATGCTCTTAGCCTGCTCACAGACGTTGTAGTTCTTACACCAAGCGACGAAATACTACCGTCTGCTTACCCGAGCGCTAAACTGAATTCCGCTACGTCGACCAATCAGAATTTACCTTCCAAATTCTGGAAAGTGACGTCAGTTGATTTAGGAGCGGAATAAATATAAATATATATTTTGAAAGCAGTCGTCGGTTGAATTTTAGTCAAAATTGCACATAAATTGAATTTAAAGATACTGATACTTGTCCAGGTAATAAAATGCACCATTAATGATCAGATTTGGATATTAAAGATGTTCGGTTTAATATATTTAAAACGCGGACAGGATTGGCATATTTATACTGTATGAATCTTAGCCAGACGGCATCAAATGCCGAATATATTTCGCTGAAATTTGAACGGTTTATCTTTATAAGACAACAGAACTCGGAAGGCAGAACATTTTATATAATACTGTGGCTTAGAAAGCGAAATATTAGCTTCAAAGTAAACTAATTTGCTGTCTGAGCAACCACTTCTGAATGTAAACTGTAAACGTACACAACACAAACCCGAGAAACTTGTATTAAAATTGCGCCGTGATGAATTTTCCAATACGCCCAAACTTCGAAACGTTTAATATACTCTAACTTGGCTATACTTTTCTACATGACAATGAGAGCTTAATCTTTTAGAAGTTTTCGTCGGAGTCATGACATATAGGAAGTATCAAGAGCAACATTTGGACATATCCTGGTTCCCGATTGATTGTTTGTCATTGTTATAAACAAAAATTTAAATTTCGCCTACTGCATTGCTTTAGCACTTTATATACACCGATTGTTTGTTGAACATGCGAGAAGATGATAACAATATTATTCTACGTAAACATCGTGAAGTTCAACGCTATAGTTTCCAAAATATATCCACGCAAGTAAACAAATTTCAAGTTTCGACCCAAACAATATATTCCAATGCATGTGCAAGGGCTTTTCCCAGTAGCTAATCTCTCAATATATAAGGCGGCTTCCAATTGGCTCTAATGTTTTTGAACACTGCCAGATGATTGGCTCGGCTAAAACAAAGGGAATTTAATATGCAGCTCGGGTAAGCAGACGGTAGTATTTCGTCGCTTGGCGTAAGAACTACAACGTCTGTGAGCAGGCTAACATGCTCTACGATATATTAAAAGGGGATGCGCCTGAAGCACTGCATAAATTATTTACCAAAACGTCTAATTATCATAACTATGATACAAGAATGGTTTCAAAAGATAACTTATATATCAATTCTTCTCGTCTGGAATTACAAAAGCGTTCATTTTCCAGAGTCGGTACTTTAATTTGGAATAGCATTGATCTCAATCTTCGCTCATCTCGTAAACAGACTTTTAAATCTAAAATACATCAAGCTCTTTTAACCATACTTCAAGATCAAAATGACTATGTTGACGTACCCATGATAATTGAAATGCTGCCCAATGTAACCGCGATATAATTTTCAGCTCATCATAACTTTCTAATTGCTTTCAAAAAGAATATATTTGTGTCATGAATAATATTTTTCATTTAAAAATTATCATAGCCAATCGGAATCTAAACTCTCGTTCTGTAAATAATTCATTTTACTTCTTCTCAATATAAATCAGTTGTATATATAATATTATTTAATTAGATTCATTTCCTGCTGCGATTAGCTTGCTATTGCAGGATTTGAATCTTGTATTTTGTCATGTGTATTATTCAAATAAAGTTGTATTGTATTGTACTATCAGTGGACCTAACCAGAAACAGTTGCGAAAAATGCAACTATCGTTCCCCTGGCCGGCCATAGCCTATCGAAGGGGAGATGGCTGTGAAAGTCATTAGAATAACAATACAAACTCATCTATATATATTGGTCAACGTTTATTCATAAATCTGGTCCTTCACCGTCACGTGTGTATTGTATGTTTACCAAATCCACCAATTGCAATGTCTTAGGAAAGTCACCTATCCGTGACTCGAACAATAGAGAAACTGGAAATTGCTATTGGTGGATTTGGTAAACATACAATACACACGTGACGGTGAAAGGACCAGATTTATGAATAAACGTTGACTAACATAGATAATGAGTTATATTGTTATTCTAATGAGTTTCACAACCATCTCCCCTTCGATATGCTATGCCCTGGCAGGAATCAAACCTGTGGCCACTTTCGCAACTGCTTCTGGTTAGATCTAATAAATGTAAAAAAACTTCTCTCGAAATTTCCATCTACAAATCCCTTCATCAACAATTAGTTATATACCGAGTACATGAGATGCCCAAAATTGTGATATTTATCCATACACCATACATTGGCATCACCTTAGTATTTATACATGAACTTGCGGTTAGGGTTCGACAATTTTTTCTCTGTAGCTCAGTTGGTTAGAGCGCTGCACCTGAATCGGACGATAGTTGCATATTTTGCAACTGGTCCTAGGTCTAATAAACTGTATAAATTTTGATCTACCCATCCCTTCAACAATAAATAGAACAATATTTCCTGTCGATGGATGATTCTGCTACAGTATTCCCAAAATATTTACCACCATAGATGATTGCGCTATTCCAGCCAGTTTGTGTGAATAGCTTGTCTTGAATGACGGTTAATGCATTGTGGAGGATGCATGATCCGTCCATAGTATAAATCGCACAGTTCTATCAAAACAGAACCTTGATATACACTTTCTTGAATTTTTTTATAAAGTAGCATGTGCAAGTCCCAATTATGAATCTCGTCAGGGAATTAGCCAATGTATTGAGGACAAACTGCGATTTTACTTCAAGAATGGGCAGGAACAAAAGCAAGGTAAGATATTATGAAGGACCATTACCGCCAAAATGCTCTTCTAAATTCTATTGCAGTCAACTTAAATTCTGTTCTTCAAAATGGCTATTGTACAACAACCGAATTTAAACATACATAACAAAATTTACGACAGCAGTATACAAAATTTGGGGCTACACAATAGAATTTACAGAAACAAAAGAATTTGAGACAACATAACACAATTTAACTAAACATTACAAAATTTAGAACAGCCCGACAAAATTTAAAACAACCAAACAAAATTTAAAACAACAAAACAAAATTTAAAACAACCAAACAAAATTTAAAACAACAAAACAGAATTCAACATCAAATTCTATTCTGCTGTTTCAAATTCTGTTCTGCTGTTTCAAATTCTGTTCTGCTGTTTCAAATTCTGTTCTGCTGTTTCAAATTCTGTTCTGCGGTTTCAAATTCTGTTCTGTTGTTTCAAATTCTGTTCTGCTACTTCAAATTCTGTTCTGAAGGGGTGTGACCGGAAGTATAGCGCTGTTTGCCTTTATAATTTATGATAATTATGAAAATTCATATAAATGTTTCCCGCGAAAAAAAAACACGGCCTCCATCGCCAGGCGTTTGGAAAGGAGAAACAACGATGGAGACAGCTTGCAGAGGCGTCGCTTGCCCTGTTTTAATGGAGGGGTGTAAGTGTAATTTTGCCGACTCGTCACTCGTCTCAGCCACTAATTAATATTTCTTTTCCCAAAAATATTGGCGGGGGGGGGGATAATTTTTTCCAGACATACTATTTTGTTTTCCTTTCTCGTTAACGCACCGTCATTCGGTGATTTTTCCTTTACTTTCTCGTACATTTTCCAAAATATTTTGCTATAAATATTAATTTTTAATCAGTGTAACTCATCAGTCATGTATTTCAGTTTTTCCCCTTCCTATCCAATTCAAGTTTTGCCGACTGCGAAAGCAATTTCCCGACTAGGATTATTAACCACCTAGGACTAGGATTAACCACCTAGGATCTCCCGACTAGGATTAACCACACACACCATAGCTCCTGACGGCTTAGATTATATTATATTCCGACTAGACTGGGTAATTATACGATACAGCTGTGATAGAAATGAGTCAAATGACCTGCAGAGCTTCTCGATCCTTCGCGAAGTGAAAGACATGTTAACGGGACACTTTTCAGGTCCTACACTGGTTATCGTGTGGAAAGAATCTTTACTGGAAATGGAATGCATGGAAGACTAAAATTAAATAACATTGCGAAAATTTAACGCTCATTGTGCTATACGCTGATCGTAAACTCAATCTATATTCCTGTCGTCGCCTTTCAAAAGTTCGTGAACTTGCAGACAGGGGCATAGGAACCGGGAGGATGGGACAAGCCCCCCAAGTTTTCCGGAAACACAAAAACTGCCTTCTCTCCGGTGGCAAAGTGCCCTTTTGCCTTCGTGAAAAAATGTTATTCAGATTACATTTTTTATGATTGCAAATATTTTTCATTATCCCCCCCCTGGCCAACAATTCTGGGGAAAATTTTTCAGGTGCCCTTTTCATTCCAAAAGTGCCCCGCGAAACCGCCCCCCCCCCCCAATCTTTTGATGCTTCTACACCTCTGCTTACAGAAAGGAGTTCAGCAAATAGTAGGAGTGTTAAAACCCTGCTTGATAAGTGAGTTGGGGGTGTAGGCCAAAAAAATTCCGAATATTTCATGGCATATATACGAAGCCACGGAGGTGTTTGCTATCCTGAAAATGAAGACGTAATTTCCAAATAAAAATACGCATATTTTACGCACAGACATATTACAGAAGGATGCAGTGCCGTGGGAAGCTATTTTTGATTGGGGGCTGAGAGCTAGGGCCGAAGGCCCCAAGGCCCGAGCAAATTTTTAAATTTAGAGTCTCTGAAATGCCATTTCCTGGACTTTCGGGAAGTTTTGTCAGAATTCTGATAGATCGGAAGACAGCGTTTTAGTATGTCGAAATTTACAATTTGCTTACAATTTAGTAGTACTAAATGGGCGAAGGCGTATTTAATTAACTATATATTGGAGACGTTGCAGGAAAGTATGGGTAATAGGAATGCAGTTTGTCATGCATAATGTAGGCGCTTAAAATTAATCAATTGTCAGTATTTTAAAGGTATATTATTTGAATGATAAAAGTCTGCATGATTTTGAAAAAAGAATGATTATTAGCAAATTATTGGGAGGGCTGCAGCCCCCCCCCCCCCCCCCCC